TTTGAACCACAATTAGTACTTGTGCTTTCATAATGCCGATTGCTCAACAGTGTCGTTCGTGTGAAAACGTTTCCGTCGAGCGCAGGGCCTTTTGTACGCGCCACGATTTTTCTTTGTGTTTCCGGCGAGTGGCGTCGAATAGAGGATCCTTTCATTCGTACGTCAAGACACGATCGCCTTCGCGTTCGCGTTCCCGCGCGAGGAATTTTGACGTTCCCGATGCGCCCAGGCGAACGTCACTCGTGAAAGGACCGCTATCTATTCGTGCCACGTGTCACGCATATGAAACATAGTAACACACAATAACGATGTGTTGTGATATCTTTTGTTGGCCCTTCTCACGGATGAATAACCGCTGAACGTCCAGTATTTCCGGGTGAAACGAGCGTTGATATATCGTCGACAGGATAAAAATAGATTATGTTTTTTAAATCTACATCGAGGAAAAAGATCGAGATAGATATTCAAAAGCAAATGTTATGACATTTTCTTTGATATTTATTGGTTATAAAAGAATTTGATTGATGAAATATATATTTCTGTGAAATATATTTAATTTTTCTTACTCTAATTGTAAGATGGACGTACTTGCTACATGTGAATAAAATTTTTTATTAAATTTCGCCATATTTAAATAAACTTTATTGTCCATAAATACATTTTTAAGTATTTTTTTTCTCAATATATTCATGTTCAATCGGAGATTACACGGATTACACGGAACAGCTTTTGTTGGCAAATTTAAAAATTTGGCCAGATACAGATCTGAAAATAAATTCGTCAGATCTTCAAAATTATTATGTACGATATTGCAAAAAGATCAAAAATTTTGCCGTATTGTTATCAAGCATCCTATGTAATAATTTTAATGATCCAACAACATCATTTTCATATCCTGTATCAGATCAAATTTTTAGACTTGCCAGCAAAACTGTTCTCTCCTAAAGTCTAAAGAAAAAGAGAAACGTGCGTCGTAAAGCACTCGTCGCTATTAATAGTCGCTAATTACGTGTCGAAGAAACGCGGACCGATCCATTCCTGATTATTGCCTAATTGTGGTGGTAGGCTGGTAGGCCTCGGCTCGGCGCAAGAACCGATACTTTCCATCCTTCTTATCGCGAAAAACGTCACGGATAATCTATATACGTGGCGGATGTAGGCGCCCGCGAGATATGCCTCTCGTGTGCGATCTTGCCTTCGCGAAGTTGCTATCGTGCCTATGCGCGATCGTGCATGACGGCGGCGGTGAGGGTTCTACTTTCTTCGATGGCCTCTCTAGAATCGGTCCCATCGAACGTAGCATACGCAACGCAACGTGTGGGTAACGCGCGCGCGCGCGCGCGCGCGCGTCATACAACGTCGGACTTATGCATTTAATAAACCCGCAGCCGAGTTCGCTTTCGCGTAATAAATTGTAAGGCAACTTTTCCTGCTGCGAGCTAAATCTTAACGGTACATCTCTCGTTATGAAAGCTCCCGCGAAGAATAATCAGGCAACTTTTCCATGATTCCCACAGGGAAACTCGAAACGCCTGCGACGCGAGGAACTCGGCGCCCGTGTCAATTAGAGGGATAATCCAACGTGTAATCGTGTAATCATAATTGAAAAGAGATACGTGTAAGAAAAACGTGTAACGCGAGACCTGGAGGAAAGACCGTTTATTATGTATAGAAAGTATTCATTAGGAAGGGATAGACATGTATAACATGCACACGTTCATCTATCTTATAATTATCTTAACATAAATATGTGGGCTGACTTTTCTAAATATAGATTTTGTTTTTGAATCTATTGGAAATACGGACTGCAGTATGGCATAGAATATTTTTCCATCATTCTTTATGCCTCCTACTATTAGTTATTTTAATAGTGTACCTACCTGGAAAAACCCATGAATTACTTGAAATTCTCAATTTGTTTATGCCCTGACAAATCAGGGAATTTTCAGGAAATTTTATTGAAAATAAAAAATTTTTTTAAATTGTTTTTTCTAATATTCTGTCTTTATATTATAATCGATTTACCGATTAAATTATTAACAATAACAATAAATCCATCCATTTAAAAAAATTAGAGAACACCGATTTTACAACTAATCCATTACAAAATACAGAGACATGCATAGAAATATAATATTCAGTATTGAAGATAGGTGTAATTTTCGCACGATTTCGTTAGGTGCAATTTTGTTTAATGAAGGCGGATATTCACTATAATAATTTTATAAAAGTGGAATTTTATACCGGTTATGCATTACATACTTTTTGTTTGTGAAAACAAAATTTTTGAAAACAAAGTTTGAAAATTTTATGCGATTTAAAATATTTATTTTTTAGAGCCTTATAATTTCAAAATTTTTTAAATTTGATTATTAAAACTCGAGTGATTTGTAATTTTATCTTATGGTTTATAAACTTTTATAATTGGAAAATATTAAAGATTTTGTATAATGAATATATATTTATTTGTAAAATAGATTTAAAAATACTTACACATTTTACCTTTAAGGGAATTTTTAACAAAATTTCCTTAAAAATTGGAATTCTCAGAGAATTTTTTTCGAATTTGAGTAGACAATATTAATACTATCTAAGACTGAATATTTTTTTGACATTTTAAATTATTTATTGGTTATGGTTCGATTACCTAATTACCTATTTTTTCAATTTTTTTAGTGAAGGATTTATAAGACACTCAGTGTGATAAAACATTATATCTATTAATTGATTTTATGTATCCGTTTATATTTTGCATGATAATTTTTTCACAATTTTATAATTGCAAATCTTCTAATTGCAATGCACTAACTAATATGAACATTCTTTTTTTTTTTTAAATTAAAAGACTTGCGATCTACTTGTTGGACTTATATATCAGCGAAAAGGAGTTGATTTAATTGTTTCGTACCTAACCTAACTATTGTCCGCGGATTGTAATCGCGACATGCTCGGTGACTGCAAAATCACGCGAAGGGAGGAGGAGGAGGAACGGGGGGCGGACAGTTTGATGTATCACACAGCGGGGAAAGAGAGCGGCACAGATCCGCGCCGTGATCCATTCGCACAGCGCGGCGATGGCTGGCACAGCGCGCTTCGGCTTTGGTGCTCGACCTCTTTGCGTCTACGTGGGAGGAATAGGAAGTCGTGCATTAAATCCGAATCTCCACCTTTCAGCGCTTAAACGCCTCTCAAATGGCATGGCCGCGGGACACCGGTCGCCGTCCACTTTGGCCGCACAAAAGCGATTGCGCGGCCGATTGCGCCAATTTCCAAATTGACCGCGACGACACGCGACGTCGACTTCTTCGGGTCGATCTCTTCCCGTTTTTTCCCGATCGATTTAAAAATTCGAGACGAAAACGAGACGAATCTTTGAAAACGCCGCCGGTGCGACGTCATTACTGTACGGCATCATTCGGATGTTCGGATGATGTGAGATTTTAGAGACACTGGAAATTATGAAATTGTGATATGTTGATAAAAAAACTCATGTTACTTATTTATTACAATATTCTTATCTTTGCAAAATACGTACATTTAGTACTTTAACTGGCATTGTTGAAAATTCTTATGACTTTTGTTTTATCAACACTTTTATTTTATGCTTTATTTCTTATATCCTCGATATGTCCGAACTCGATATAAATGTCTCATAAAATTTTTCACGAAATTATTGAGATGTATTTTTTACATATTTTAATGCTAATTAATCATATTATAAAAATTTATTGATTTGTTATTGTATTATCAATGATCTTTTACTCTTCTTTTTTTATTTCAATGTTAATTAATCGTATGAAAAATTTTATAATTTTTATCGTATTAATAATATTTTCTTATTTTTTTTTCTTTCAGTTTGATTTTTTTTATATGATTTTAAGTTTACACAAGTTCGAACACATTCACAGAGCATTTTTAGATGGCTAGCAACGAAATTGAGCGGAAAATAAAAACAAATAGTTAAATTCTTATTCGTAGTGTGGCTAGAGTGCCAGTCTAACAGATATATCCGAGAACGTCTCGGCGAACTCTTGGACTTTCTCACTCGCGCGTATCGAGCGGAAAGATTCCAGTCTCAGCCACTCACTTGTGATTGCGCTCATTGCCGAATTAACTGCGAACGTCAAACGTTTCCCATTCGCGAGTGGAAAAATTCTATTCCCGAGGCTCTATTCACGTTTGAGTAGTTGGCAGTAGGTGGCAGCGGAATCCTAGATGGATACACGTTCCCGGGAGGCTGCATTCCTCTTTTGTTCGAGAGGAACGTATATGTAGAGACAGACCGTTCGATCATTAATCTCACGCAACACGCCTACACACACACACACACACACACACACACACACACACACACACACACACA